AGGATATTATAATAATGATGAATATGAGAAACGTATGTACATATGTACGTCATGTTTGTATACTTTATGTAAATAAGAATTATGGTTTCAAAGTTAAAAAGTTTTGATTTATTAGGATTTGTTTGAAATTTTGAAAATATTAAACCTACATCCATATACATACATCTATATATGGACATATATGTTGTATGTATGTATATATAAGGAATAAAAACTTTTTTTATTGACTTTAAAATTTCGAAAATATTGAATACGCAATTTAATTTAAATATTCTTAATGATTTCGAATATTTTTTCTCAATAAAGATTTTATCAATAAATTTTCTCATGTAAATTAAAATAAAATAAAAATTTCATTAAAAAAATATTTAAGAAAAACATATTTTTTCAATGGATAAATTATAAAAAATTAATTGCAATTTTATGTTTAAAAATATCAAAATTAATATTTGATTGAAAATTGAAGAAATAATTTGATTTCAGTATTGTTAATATTTTGGGTTTATATCTAAATTCGTGATTTTCAATTTGGGTTCACGAGTTTTTTTTTTGAGGTTTTCGACTGTCTAAATAGGTGCCACCGTATAAATTACGTGGCACATAAATTGGGCCACTTCATAAATTGTGTGGCCCCTTATAAAATCTATAGCGGATTTTGGATAATTCAGTTTTAACTTAGATTTTATTATAAAGAGTGTTTGGTCTATGAAAACTGCATAAGTAGCATGTCTGATAAATTTATGTTTAGAAAAATATATAGATATAGAAAAGTAACATATAGAAAAGTGTTGGTTTCTAAGGACATTAAAAAACTGCCAAAATTTGCTAAATATTTAGTATTTCTGAATTTTTCATTGTGCGAAATCAAAAAAAAAAAATTTATGATTTAAGTCCCTTAAGAATGAATTATTGAAAATCCCCTGAAATTATGCAATATTTTTAAAATAAAATTTTTTTTGTGATTTTGTGTATATGTCAATAGGCAAGGTAAAGTTTATAATGTGCCGAAGTTTTTATCGAACGAATCTCGAGCAAAAATTCGAAATGAATCGGTATACAAACATGTTATACATACACTACGTGAAAATGCATTAAGTATGAAATGGGAAATACTCTTTGCTGCTAATGATTTCTGTGAACTGGGGAAAAAAAAGAACAATTGACTTTGTATACTTTATGGAGTTAACCGCTATGCTTTACATAATTGGTTCTATGTAAAAAATAAAGAATTTGAGGGAGGTTGAATATTTGTTCTTTTTTTGTATTTTGGTAATATTTATAAAAAATGTTGGGGTTATTGTTTTTTACAAATTTTTGAACAATATTATTAAATTATAGCTCTGTGTATGCTTTCGTATAGTGGTTTAAAAAAATTGTTTTTTTACTTATAGAAGTAAAAACAAAGTTACTGCAAAAAAATTTAAAAAATTTCTAATAGAAAATTGTAAAAATGAATTTTTCATTTTTTTGCTTAGTAAATTTATGTCAAATACGTTGTCTCACGTTCAACATATAAAGTGCTTTACTCATTTTTCTTCTAAAAGGATTAGTATGTTTTGCCAACAATATAAGCACATTTGGTAAATAACTATTACCCAAGTTTGAGTTATAACAATGGAGATGAAAAATAAACTGCAAATAACACATATATTTAAATTTTTTTTTTTTTCTTTATGTTGTGCTTAAAAATTCTTTAGAAAGTATTTGAGCTGATGAAAATAAAAAAAAAAAACCAACATTTAGTTTTATATAAATTCATAAATATAAGTGAATGTATGTAGGGGCGTGTGTGTTTTTTTATCCGTAAACTATAAAAGTGTATTATAAAATGTGAAATTTTTGTGTTTTATATAATATTATGATCAGTGTTGCCGTTTTGATGTTTATAAGAGTAAAAACTATAAAACGAACGTTTAAAAGAAAAATTTTTCGTTTACCCTGAATATAATCGGGTCTGAAGGCGATTTAAAAATTAGTCTTCATTCATTTTTGAAATTTCGGCACTAAATGTAAAGTTTTTATATTTTCTGAAGAATTTAGACAAAGTTTACGTTTCTTTTTTTAATTTTCTTTCAGGAACACATAATATAACGGTGAATTATTGTTTAGTAGAAAATTTGACTCTCGTGAACATATTGAAAAGCTAATGCAGTTGAAAATAGATCTTAAATTAAATAATATACACATTGTATTTGTACTAGACTTTTAAGCGGCTATGTAATTTTAAAATATGTAAAAAATTTGAATTTTTCCTTAAAATTGGAATAAAGAACTTTTCATCGTGTTGCATATTGATATTAATATTAAAATATGATAAAACATAGTAGCCATTAACGTGATCAGATTTGTTGAATTGAAATTTTTAAAAACTTTCCTAGAATCTTATAAAGAAGATTTCTACTCCGGAAGGGTAAAATTGTACACATTGTAATAAAATTGTACATTTTATTTTAAATTTCGCTTGCACGTTTCGATAAGAGATGGATAATCGAACAGGTTCGAACAACTTAAAATTCCACATAGAGTTCCACTATATAGTATATCGGGTCGAAAACCTAATGTATGTGACTAGTTTTTAAAGTAAAATTCCTATATACAGAGTAAACCACAAGCTCCGATCTTAATAGAACGATAAATCTTTAATGTAGGACAATAGAAAATTGTATTTTTTTTTTAATATTTTATTTTCAAAAATTTTTATGTGAGCTTAAAACTGATACACATTTGGACAGACTTTTTGGTATACTTTAATACTGTGTTACACTTATGTATTTCTATGTATTTCCAGAGGATTAAAAATAAAGTTTCTTTTTTTTCGGACATATCCTACCAGAAATTCTTTTCTTCTTTCACAAGGATTTCCAACTATTTAACTTTTAAAAAATGCTCTATTTTTTTTGTTTGTAAGTTTGTTAAAGAATACATTCTACATTATAAAGTTAAGAATATTTTATAGCGTTTCACATTTATCTTGTTCATTCTGGGATTTTTTGGAAAAAATGTCCTTATATAATCATTTTTATATATATACTTATTAGGTATATGGTATATAAATTATTAACGTATAAATTTTATTTTATCATATTGTTGACAGAAATAATGGTTCGATGTAATGGAGCGTTTTTGATTTTATGAAAATTTAATTATGATAAATTGTAAGTTTAGAAAATTGTAATCAGCTTGTATAATATTTTTGAAATGTTTCTCAGAATTTATATGAATCTTATAAATTTTGTGTAATGCATTAAAAACTTAAAATTTATATATTAAAATTTTGTTAAACAGTTCTGAAATACTTCAATTTTTGAGGATTTGTTGCACTAAAACTTTAAATTTTTTATTTGTTGAATTCCAAAAAACCTAAATTTGCACGAATATATGTGAGTGTTTGTATGTATATATTGTATTTATATCGGCTTTCATTTACTTAACATACCATTTTTATGATTTATTTAACATTTTTGTCATATTTCAAATAAATTAAATTTTTTATTTAAATTAACCAAACCGATTAATTTGTGGTGTTTACGCGTCAAGGATTTCGTTATTCTTCTTAATTTTCTTTCGATTGATTTAATTTGACCCAAATATTAAATGGCGGTATTGGGATGTGGTTAAATTTTATTTTACTACTAAATTTTATTTAAAATAAAATTTTATAAAAATTTTTCGAATTAAGATCTTTTCGTTCCCGTTTTTTAACTCTCTGAATAAGAAGAAGTTGAGTGTATATCGTATACGTTTTCCTTTTGTCGATTTTTGGTTAAAAATAAAGAAGTTTTTTATAAAAATTATTTTAAATTTTTTAATTCACTTGTTTAAGAAAAAAATTCCCAAACACGAATTTTTAAGATATGAAATGAATGAAAATATGCAGCACAGTTCCAAGTTCGTGAAATTATAATATTTTACACCGACAAATAGTCAGCTCCGCCGTAATATTCACGAAATTTTAGTATAATTACAAGAAAAACCTTTATGCAAATGCCAAATAAAAGTAATATAGCTAAATCGTTAATGCAAGGATAGAAAATTGTGATTCAGAGAGAATAAGAATTTAAAATTCAAATTACTTTTAGTGCATATAACCAGAACTCAATTGATTTTTGAAAATCAAAGTTAAATTCAATGCTAAATTTAGGTAAACAACACAAATATTTTATTTTAAACTTTTCATTTTAAGTTGGAAAATTTTAATAACTTTTTAGGTTGAAAACTTTTTTAACTAACTTCTAGAATTGAAGTTAGAAAAATTTCAAGATTCAATAAAATTTTATCAACAAAAATATTGATTGTCAACAATTTTTATTTAATTTTAAAAAGTATGTTTGTTTTATTGACTTTTCTGTCTCGATTGCCTTCTTATGAAATCAGAGAAAGTATAAATGAATTGAAATAATTAAATGAATGCATTTAAATTGATTAATTTTTCAATGGTTAGTTAGAGAGGCAATAAAAATAAAAGTGAAATAATAGTTACAATAAATAACATTTTAAATTTTTCAATTAAAATCAATTATATTAAATAGAAGAGAAAGTAAAAGGAACCGTTAACGGTGACAGTATAGAAAGTTTATTAAATACTCACTCAACTTTTACTACCATAATTTTTAATTAAATTGCTTTTAATTAAATTCAATTATATAAAGAAATTTAATTGAATAACATTAAGAAGAATTTTTTATTTCTGAAAAGAAATAACTTTTAAATAAATCAAAATGACTTTCATTAAAAACATTAATTATTTTGTGACATAATTTTCATTTGCATGACAGTAATTCATTTAAATTGGTTTCATTTTATTTGATACTTTTTTATTTGAATGCTGTTAAATAGACAACAAAAAGTACTTGTATATTATTATGAACGTAAAATTTTAAAGAATGTTGTTAAAAGTAAATAGTTTTAAATAACCTTAATTATCATACAATTAAGTAATGAGCTTAAATATAAGTATTTAAGTATTTTTTTGTTATTATCTTATTTTTTATTATACATACCTCTGTACAAAAACTGCAATTACATTGTGTAATTATAGTTGCATCACTTGAATTATTAACATCATTTAAACATAATTTACAAACAAATGGTATATTAAAAGATTTTCTTTGATGTTGTTGTTGTACATTTGTTGAATTTAATGTTGCTGTTGTACTAATATCAGTTTTTGATGACTGCGGTGAACTAATCATACCATCTATTATTCCACCACCATCAATACTATCTACACAACTACTTCCACCACTTGTAATACTTTCATTTCTTGTAATACCATACGAAGATGAATTTAAATTTTTCTTTGAATTTATTAATGATTCATATATACTGCCTGTAGTACAACTATTATTTATAATATTATTATCATTATTATTATTATTATTGTTAATTAAATTATTACCATTATTAAAATAATTATTATTACTATTATTATTATTATTGCTATTGCTATTGTTATTTGAATTATTTAAAGAATATCTAGAGCTAGATGCAGTAATAGATAAAAGACTAGAACAACGTGAGCAATTTGCATTTGTTATAGATGAACTATTACGAAGGCGATTTAAAGGCTTTATTGGTAATTCAATACCATTACAACTGCTATTGCTATCACGTTTTATTGTAATATTATTGTTATTGTTATTATTATTATAATTATTAATACCAGATGGATTATAACTAACACAACGATTATATATTACTGCAGGTACACTTGCTCTACTATTATAATCATAATTATAATTTGATGGTATTTGATTATATAAACTTGATGATTTACTAGATAATGCTAAAACAGTTTCACATTTTCGTAAACCTGTATATTGTACAATTGATTGTGATTTTTCATTATATAAACTTGTTGCACTACCTTCACGTTTTAATAAAGGTATAAAATTCCAAAGTTTCTGTTGAACAGTATTCAATGATAAGGTACTACTTTGGGTTATTTTTGTACTATCACAGATATGAATTGCTGAGCCAGCTGTTGATAGATTACTACCAGTTTCAAAATAAATATCATTATTTTTATTAACAGTACCATTTTCAGAAAATTCAAGTTTAGTAAAATCTTGTGAAGAACTATGTGTAATAGTAATTTCTGGTGATGGTAATGGCGGAGGATATGTTCGATGGGTATCTAAAATTGTATTCTCTTGTAATTGTAATGCTTGTAAATGTGTTTGTTGCTGTTGTTGTGTCTGCTGCTGCAGTTGCTGTTTCTGTTGATTTTGGTAATAATAATTTTGATTTTGTGATGGCATCGTATTATTTGGTAATTCTTTAGATGGTTTGCGTCCAACCAATGTTTTAATAAAATTTTCAAAACGTTTTTTTCTTGGTATTTGATTTGCTCCCATAACTGATTGTTGATAATTTGTTGTTGAATTTTGGGGACGGCTAGTTTCATTTTTTTGAGCTGTCGTAATTTTATTTTGCTGAATGTTATTAATACTGCCATTTAAATTTATTTTGGACGGGAATGTTTCTTGCTCATATATTGTATTTTCAGTTGTTCCATTACTATAAAGTTTTACCTTTTGACTAGATATCTGATGTGTTTGAGGTTGTATATGAATTTGGTTATTATTATTTTGCAATAGGTGTTCGGTTTCATTATCATCAATTATTATTGATTGTAAATTATTTTCATCATGTCTTGACTTTATTTGGGAATGAAATGGTTTTTTCTTTAAATTAGCCAGATTGTGTATTGGTGATGAATCCTGAAATTAATACAAGAAATATATAATTATAATTTCAGTACAGAGTCTAAAACGTAGTTTGTTATATTAAAATAAGGAAAAACATAATTCAAAACAAATTTGCTTTTAATTTTAATTTAGAAACAATGAGTTATTCAAAGTTAAAAGTAGATTTGAATGCCAACCATTTGTAAAACTACTCTACACAATAAAATAAAAAAAAATTCAACTCAAAAGTAACCTTAACTTAAAATTCATCTCTTTTTTTAATAAACCTTAAATTGAGGAGAAAACAACGAACTTCGTATATAAAAAGAAATTAACTCGAAAATTGAACAGAAGAAAAATTTCATAGCCATACCGGTAACATATTTTCTGACTTAATTTTCATTTTTTTATTTTTTATTTGTCAGGATATAAAGTACAAGTAATACGAATAATATGTGAAGTGTGCTGCTCCAGATATGGGTGTGGTGGCATAATATTGGTTTTTATACATAAATTTAACATTTAAAGTGAATACCAAAGGAGTGGTGTTTAATTATAGCATGTCGTTTAATAAGAATTTTTTCATTAACTTTTGAAGCGATAATCCAATTTTAGGTTGAAATTATTGAAATTCACATCTGATCTTTCATTATTCGAGTTTTTTTTTTTTGTATAATTTTTTTCTGTTTCTGTTTTTCATAAAAATAATTAAAGATAATGAAGATTTATTAAATTAATATGAAGGGACATCATAATATTGAACTTTGTCCTTGGCTTCGTTTCAATATTTTTAAGTAAAAAGAACGTGTCTATATTATATAAGTAAATGTGAATATTTATCTTGCCTTTATATAGTTATTGATTGTAAATGCACTTTAAAATGGCAAACCTTTGAACTTTTGGTCCAAATTCGGTGATTGTAGAAGATAAATGATGTAAAACAAAAAATATGTGTTTTTGTTGTTAAAAATTGTCATGTGGCGTTATAATTTTTATTATAAATTTCTTACAATAATTATTGGGTGAGGCTGAAGTATTCGTTGTAAAAGTAAGTTGCTAAGTAATTTCATTTTTATTTCCTATCAGGTGATGGTGAATAGTTGAGTAAATTTTATTGGAAATATAGATATGATTTTCTCTTATATAACATTGTAAGCTAATAAAATTCAGGTTAAGGACAAGAAAGGAATGTTTAAGAAAGAATCTGTAATATCAATTCATTTTTTTTTTAATTTCATAGTTTAATTTAATACGAGTATCTAGTGGACTGTGAGTTCAATATTTGTACAAGTAATTTTTCATCTCAAACTTACTGTACGAAATCATAATCATTTTCATTTGCATTCATTGCATAATACATATACATATACAACAAATGTATACAAGTTATTAAACCTATACATAATAATTTTTTTAACTATTTGTAAAAAATAATTGCTTTTTTACTTTCTTGAATATTTTTGTTCTTCTATACACATACAATACTCTCCTCTGCAAATTTAATTAATTTCCTGGGTAATGTAATTTTTATTGTTTGACATGTACATTGTTATTTTTAAAATATTATTTTCCTTGTTTTTCTGTTAAGAATTTGACTATTATAAAATTTTTCATTTATCATCAGAGAAAGAATCGTCATATTATGTAATATAGCAGTAAAAAAAAAATTTCTTTTAAGCTATCCTGAGAAATTCTATAATTTAAAAGAACGATGGATGAATAAAATGTACTGGTATGATAAGTTTTATGTAAGAATATACATAGCTATAAGGGTTTAACATAAATGAAGAAAAATTCATATTACATACACAAGAATTTAATATGAGCATTTCTGACACATAAATCCTTATATGCACAGAAAAAATTTATTTAAAAGGAAAGAAAAAATCATAAAATATTCATATTTTACAAAAAAAAATAAGAACTTGTAGGGATGTCAAATATGCATTAACATTTTGGATCCAGACAAATCAAAAAAAAATTTAATTTTGAATAGATAAGCAACAAATTTTAAAAATCATTTAAAAAACAATTTTTTACATGTGTCGTTGAATCATAAAAACTTGAACTAACATGGAAAAATTTGTTTCTACATTTACCGCTAAATTTTATGTCATAATAAGACAAACCCTTTTAAGTTTTTTTAGCTTAATAGTTGCAATATTTGAAATTTTCGTCTCAAGATTGTTCAGTTCTGTCGAAATTGTGTCCAACTCGGATAATTTTAAGTCGATCAAACGGCCCTCGAATTATATATATTATAAAAAAAACATATTACGATCGTAAAAAAAGTTCAAAAACTTTAATGAATTTTCTAAAATCGATTAAATTGTTAAATGAGTAACTTTCACTAAATTCATAAGATTTGATTTACTGGAAATTATTGGATTTAACAATAGGAAAAGTATCGTGTTATTTATAGACTTATTGCTAATGCTATCAAAATCATAAATTTACGATATAAGATTAATCAAGATGCGATCTTTCAGATTTTACGGTAGCGGGCAGCATTTGTAAAAATGGGTATGCATTCTTAATTTGCCAAGTTATTTAAATACATAAATTGTTCATAAATTTAAGTTTTGAGTTATTCTATTTAATATATGATTTGCAATCATCGAAATTCGCGGGAATTAATTACACAAATATTTCGGAATATACAAATATTATTCCTTAATTTCAAAATTAAATAAAGTAAAAGAAATGGAAAGAGCTACTAAAAACAAAAGTTTGATCTTCAATTTTTTAAAAATTATTTTATATAACTCTTAAATCTTACCAACTTATGTACTTTCAGTATATTTATTAAAAGATATAGCGTGCTGAAAAAATAAATCGTGTCAGAATTTTTGATAATTTACTTATTTTTTAATTTACTGTATGTACTTCTTAGAAATTCCAGTTAATTTTCAATAAAAATAAAAAAAAAATCTCTATTTTTAGCAATTAGTAGAGAAAAAAGAAGGTTCTTATATCCGATTATACCAACAATGTGGAATAATAATATTAATAAAATATGTATGGGATTATTTTGGCACGCAATATATTAAAAAAAATACAATAAATCATAGAAAATAAAGTGTTCCAAATAAAAACATCAAAATTTAATTATTAACATGTTTAAGTAACAACGTATACATAGATTTTTCATTATTAAAAACTCTCTTAGATACAAAAACAAGTTGGAAAGCATTATTAAAAACAAGTTACGGAAAATCTTTTCCCTTCACATGTGTAGAAATGTTATGATTCTATTATTCTTTAATGTAGAATGCAGATATTTTAGAAACTATACAAGCAAAAAGAATTCTAAAAAATATGAGTTATAGTTTTTTAAATTACAATTAAAGTTCAAAGTTTATAAATAATATGTAAGTTAATTTATATGAAAATTAATTTTTATACACTACTTTGGACAATTACATACAACAAAGTTCTATATTATGTTTTCATTAAAACACATTACAATAATAGCCTAACGGTTTCAAAGTAAAAATTAGTATTCATTATTATATAAAGCTAAATTAGCAAAAGTATTAGTTTAGATAGCAAAAGTATTAGTACCTACATATATTCTTTGAATATCAAACTCTGTACGAGATATTTAGCTCTTTTTGAGTAAATTGGAATAAATAAATAAAATAAATTATGAAGAAATTTGAGCTGCATATCTCACTTAGTTCTAAAATCAGAAATATGATAAAAATTATTAAGTATTTTTTCTTTACTGCTACAGATGTTAACTATGCGGTATTGTTTCTCAAAATAAATAATTTCTCATAATTTCAATTTGAAATTTAATTTTCGTTGTTAAAGTTGTTTTCTCAGGGTTCTATAAAATTCTTAGACAAGAAATTAATTTAAATCTGTTCTTTGTTAATTTAAACTAAAATAACTAACTAACCGATCTAACTGTATGTTATACCATTGCCATTTGCAGTGCTTCCAAGGTCACTATAAAAAATTATATTTAATATTATTACAGCTTAATGCACAATACTTATAAAATGAAAAAATTAGTATACAAGTAATTTTCATATATCCATAATATCTGTAATATTTAATATAAATAATAAAAAAGTACGGCAAGCAAGTCATCTAGTTATAACTCTATGACTCAATGAAACTGGGAAGTGACTATCTATGATATCACGCACTAACCCGTATGCTCCTCCTAGGAGTGATGAAATGAAAAGAAAAATTAGAATTTATAGCAAAATTTAAAAAAACTTAAAAATTTACACTATGTTAGAACATATTTTGTAACACCTGGCAGCTCTATAAAATATCAACAATGATGCCGAATTCTTAAATTTGGTTGATTTTAATTTTGATGATTTTTTATTTTTTATTTTTTTTTTTTTTTGAAATTTCCCTTTTCAGGAAAGTTACATTTCGTTTCAATTACAATACGTAATGATTGTGAAAAATTTCCTTTTTTCTTTGTTTCTTGTTCTGTTTTTCTTTATTTTTCTTATCATTTTTATTGTCATTTGCGTTTAATGGCTTCATATGAATATACATATGTATACGTACATATACTTTTAAATTCATTCATCTTAATTTCATCTGAATATTTTACATGATGTACGTATAATGTAAGTTAATTATACATACATGTGTAGAGGCATTCATTTAATTTGTAAAAATATTGAGTTAAAAGGAAAAAATTAAATTTTATTGCAAATCTTTTTTTTTCCCTTTATTTTTTGTTAAAAAATTTTTTAACCTTTCAAAATGAAATTATTTTAGGGAATGTTTTGTTTTCAAAAAATGTTTGTAACATGTAAATGGGAGATTATAAATTTTTGGAATTAATGTACGTTTCAGTACGGTAGGTTTTTTGAGTTGGATCATTCTCAATTCGTTACTCAATGTTATTTATTGGAAATTTTTTATGTTAACAGATTTATTGATACAAAACAAATGCTAATAAAAACAATAATCTTGTCACTAGTCATATCTTTGATTGTAATGTAAAAAATTGCATAGTACAAGTGATTATTTTATTTTTATTCCTGATCAACGTAGTAATACCATTCTTATATAAAATTTGGCTTAATAAATTTCATCTAATTAAAAAAATTATTATTTTAACTGAATTTTTTCCATTCCTTGTTGATATTATAATGTGAAAGAATCGAAAAAACACCTAGTATATTTAAAATCTCTTTAACTCCAAAAATGAAAAAATGCTAGAGTAATTAATTTCCAACTGTTACTCAAAAAGTTTTATTATAAAATTATTTTTTAAATTCTAAAAAAAAAAAAAAATTGTAAAAGAAAAAATATTAATTTTGTTAACAAGTTTTATTTGAAAAATTTTTTCATATTCGTACACAGTCTTTAGCACATATGAAAACGTTATCAAAGAAAAACATAAGCTTACTGTTTGTTCTTGCACCATCGGATCTTTAAAAGTTTTTAACATTATTTGGGGAATTTTCAAAACTCTTTTTATTTCTACGAAATTTAAATAATTGTTTAATTAGGGAAATTTTGTTTTAAATTCGAAATTTTTAATTTTAGACATTCTTTAACAAGAATCGATAATCATTTTTTGACTTAACTAGTTTAAAACTCTGTAAACATTTGAATGAACTTAAATATTTAAAAGGAAATTAATCTCTTCATCTCTCAAAAATTTTTGCACACAAATGTATATGTCTCTAAAGTGTGGTGCTTTAAGAATTTAAAATATATATATTAATTTTTAGTCTACTTGCAGTGGAAAAAACCTTCAAAATCGATTTCCTGTGGGTGTATACTGCCAATTAATATGATTTTGTTAAAATTTTCAATATAATTATGACAGAAAAATATTTATAGAATTTTAATACTATAATTATGTAAACGAAAGTATTAAAATTTTTTGTATCTATATACACATATGTATAGATATATAAGTGTCATTTATGCAGTTCAAATTTTTGTCAATCTAAAGGTAAATGTTGTGTTTCTTAAAAAAAATGCCAAGCAATTGGAAAATTCTGTGCGAATTAAATTGTACGAAAACCAGCAACGTTTGTTAGTATATATTCTGAAAACTCCAGATTTGGCTCTAATAAAAGGAGTTAATTTACTACGATCTAATTTTTCTGAAAAGTTTTTCAATTAATTGCGCTCACAAGTAGAACTCGAATAATAAATTTCAAAAAATTTAAATTATTTATAAATATGTTCGATCAAACCGTGGAGAAAGTCCATTTCCGATTTTTGCCTTGTTAGTCTCAAAAAATTTACTAGTTTATTACTTTAATACTCTGAATTGCAATGAAATCGTGATGAAGTACGAAGTTTTTGCCAATCATGAGTCGGTTGTCAAAATAGCGTTTACAAATAAAATAAAACGGTTTTTACTTAGATTCAATGATTTTTTAATATTAGGTATGTGTTTAACCTTATGATGACTTTTTTAAAATAATACCGCTGTGCATTTTTCTTCTTGTTATTTTTTTTAGACAAAAGTACATAAAATTTATATAACTGCTTACATAATATAAAGGTACATATGTATATATATGTACATATTTATTTTATTGAAGGAAATCAATTTTATATTTTTTTCAGGAATTTTTGTATCAAAACTTATTTGTACAGTTTCTGTGTATCCGATATACATTAAAAAGCAATCATGCATAATAGTTACAATATTCAAAAATAAGATTTTAGAAAATACTGATTGAATAATTCTATAGCGCCGTGTTTCTCAACCTTTTGAAAATGTTATGCCGAGTAAATATTCCAGCATATTTTTTTTTTGGATATTTAATTTATATTTTTAGATTTCTTCAAAGAAATTTTGAAAATAAGGAAGTCGTCTCTTTATTTATACCAATACATACAACGTCTTAATGTCTAATATGATATAATACAAGTCATTGCTTTGCAAAAGCAGTTTTAAATGTTAGCAACATTGCTTAAAAAATTTTGAGCTCCGCGTCATTGAGATATTCAAAATTTCAATAAACATGCTGGAGTTAAACTTGTGTTTATAAATTGCTCGATCTAATATAAAACGGATAGTAACAAATTACCAAAGTAAATTTATAACTTATACTTATTTATAATGTAGAAATGGACTTGTTTCCTTAAATACATAATATTTAACAAATCATTAATAATGAGATTTTGTCTATATTTCTTGATGACAACACCAAAGCCAAAACAAATGAATAAATAAATGTTTTATCAAAAGAGTGCCGCGAAATATTAAAAAATATTTCTACGTGTACCGCAAACTCAAAAATTTTGAGAACAATTGCTATAAAGCAGTGAATAGTATAGCGTTCAATATTTGCTATAATATAGAAAATTGAAACGTTATCGTATTCAAATAAAATGAAGGAAAGTTTATTTCACATATGGTTGAATTATAAAAAAAAATGCTCAGTATATTTTTATTTTATTCACAATATTATATACATATATGTATATTAATGTATTATGTATTTGTGTACATAATTATTTATGAATATTTTAAGAAATACATAAGCACATGTATTGTATGTTTGTAAAGTGTCTAACCTACAACCACATTAAACGAAACCTGAAATATCTGTTAAAGGTTTCATATTATTTTCCCATGTTTAGAATAATTCGATTTTTAGCACATTCCAATGAAATTGTGAAAAAAATTTGCTTATTAAATTCACATTAGTCTGGCCGTTCATGCGCTTACTCACAAGTCTGTACACTCTTTAAGTTAGAGAACTAAAATTTGATATACTTTTGGATTAACTTTTTTATGATTTAAAAAAAAAAAAGTTTCCAAAAAATAATATTTTATGCTGCCCTCTTCTAAGAGTTATGGCTGCTTAAAGTCTATATTTTAAAAAAATATATTTTAATTTCTTGAAGAGAAATGTGCTATTATTATGAAAAGTGCTACTTTACAAACCAATGATTTAGTCCAAATGTATATAATATTTTTAGGTAAGTAAAGGTAAGTGTATCTATATAGGAATGAAAGTAAATATCTTAGGTTAGGGTAGGTTATTTGGAATTCAATACTTACAAAAATTGTATAAATAGTTATCGTACTTAATGTTAAAAGCAGTGAATATTAAATTTTGTATGTTGTTGTTTATGTAATAGAATATAGACGTAGACAATAATGATGATATGACAACTTGTCAAGTAAAATATCGAATATCAAATCGTAAACATATTTCAATTTTATGCTATGTACACCTTATTCAGTTCTGTTATGTTTAAGTTGTAATTTTAAAATTTTTATTTGTAAAGAGAGGGAAATATTTTAAGGTTCTTCTGGTTTCTCATTATATTTTCTTATATTGATTAAGTTTAAGTATAAATACAATTTTTTTTAAATTAAAGTTATATTAATGGTTTAAAAAATTTTATGACAATTACCAAAATATTCCGATTGATAAAATCAAACTTGATTGAAGTTGAACTTTACAAGAACTATATTAGAATTAAATCACTTTTAAATGACGGAAAAATAAAATCACTTTAATTGATTTTTCAAAAATTTTGAAAATTTAGCGCAAAATGTTTTCTAGTTATTCGACAGATCTCGCTTACCCGACTCGGCGCAGAGCACAAATGCTATTTTATGTTTTTGTCTTTAGTGTTAATCATGGAATCAATTACTTTGCTATTTTCCTTTAAATTTCAGATTCTATCTGAAAAATTCTAAAGTTACATACGTGTTCTGCTTTCAATAATGTTAATATTAGAAACCAAAATAAATTTGTTTTATTGCATATTGCTAAAAAATATTAATTATTTTTATAATTTGGAAATAAATTTTGTATATGTTGAATATTTCAAAATATTTTATAAATAATAATAATAATGAGAGAGAATTTTATAATTTTCTTACCCTTGAGTCCTGTTCAATTTCTTCTTGTAATGCACTATAAACAGGAGCGTACCAAGAGTACGATAATTGTTTTCGATTTGTATTCGCCGTTGTTGTTGCTGTTGGTGATTGATTTATAAGTTGATCCGTTTCAAATAAATCAATATTAGAGTTATTAATTGGTTTAAAATTTTGTACGTAATTATTGATGGGAAAACTTTTCCTTTTTTTACTCTTTTCAAAATTTTCTGCGTTATATGTAACGGTATCACAGCTATTATTATATATATTTATATTATTATAATTATTTCGTATATTAGCACCGTTTGATCGACGTTCATTTATATAATTATTTTTTCCTACACTTGTTGTTGTTGCCGCTGTTATTTCTGTAGGTGATGTTGTTGTAGTTGATATTGTTGATTTTATAATATTATTATGACTATTATTAATATTATTATTAAAATTATTACAATTATTTATTTTATAATCACTAAATTTATCGTTATTTATTGCAAGATCTTTATTATTTTTATTTAAAATTAACGAGGCACTATTCTTATTTAAATAAATATTTCGATTTGTTTCATTTATATCGGTAATATTATTATCAATTAATTTAAGTAACGGTTCTTTATCTAACGGTTTATTCGTTAATATATTATTAGTTGCGTTTCGTGTTGTTGTTATTGTTGTTGATAATAATGGATTATTTTTTTCATTTTTATAATAAAATTCAACTTGCTTATATTCTTCTTCCTTATGAGGATATTCAAAATTTGTTATAATCGATTCATTTGTATTATTAATTTTTATATTAGAATTTATATTTATAATGTTGTTACTAGGAACATTTTTGTATTGAATATTATTTATAGTATTATTATCAGTGATTAAATCTGGTACATAATTATTAACCAAATTTATTTCACTAGTTGTTGATGTATTATTTAAATTAAGAGAACAACGATCAAATTTTAAGCTATCTAAATCTGAATTTGTTTTAATAAAATTATCTGAAACAAAAGTATTATTAAAATTGTTAAATTGATTTGAACAATTATTTTTTAAACGATTATCGCTAACATCGCTTGAAAGACGTTTTAATTTACGTAAATTTATTGAGTCATTTAAAAACTGCTGTTGTTGTGTTTGTTCTTCTTCTTCTTGATTTGAGAATAATTGTTGTTGAAACGAATCTGAGGAATGTGACGTAATAGTATTATTTGAATTAAATAATTGAGATGGTATTGTTGTTGAATTAAAGCCAATTGTATCATTTGATGATGTTAATAATGATCCTGTAGATGATGTTGCAGGATTTTCATTGAAATTAACAAATAATTTTTGTTGCTGCTGTTTCGATTGAGATATTATAGAATCCTGTTGTGATTTAAAAATACTATCATTCGTTATTGATGTTGTATCTGAATCAATAAGAATTGGAATAGGTGATATTATTTCAATTGTTTCACAAGAAGAATTTATTGTATTTGAATTCTTTGTTAAATAATTTTTAACGTTTTGATTTTCAGCTAATATCTCCTTTTGATTTATTTGTGTTTTCCGATGTAATGGTGCTGCTACTGAATGAACACCATCATTTTTGGTTGAAGAAATAGGTGGACGCATTTTTATAGTTTTTTATTAATAATGCTAACTCAAGTTTTATTTTAATATTATTTGGTACTTTTTTTATTTTAATGGAATACAAATTTGAATTGAAATATTTATTATTCACAATGAATTCATGCAAGTGGCTGTTAGAGGTCTCCTGGAAATAAAAGAAGAAAAACAAAAATTAATGAATAATTAAAATTAAATTATTACTGTAATTTATTGATATGAAATGGAAGTGATATAAAAGCGTTGGAGTTGCTTTTTTGATTTGTTAGTCAACAACAGTAAGTTGACATTTTTGACTCATGCACATATAAAGGACCTACGCATGTATATTTTTTTTGTGTTTGTTTTCTTTCTTCTACAATAATATTTTGATTGAATGCCTTACATTATTTATAGTTCATGTCCTATATTAATAAATCATACAACTTGAATATCAATTCGTATTTCATTTTTTTGATGGAAAAAGCCATATGGTAATAATGTAAATGTACTCGTATTTCCTCTTCCTATATACATTGTGTATACCTATGTGTATACCTTATGTACCTATTATGTACTTAAGCTTTTCATATAGAATCCAAATTTTTATTTACAAAAATATATATTATATGTACTTGTCATATTGAAGAACAAAAAGGATATTAGAGTAAAGAAATATTTACGAGTCTTCCTGTTTTTTTTTTGCTCTATTTTTAATTTTGCTTTTCTTACGTCTAAACATGTTAGGAATGATATCATATTTAACACCTGAAGAAGGTTCAAGCTATAATTCATGAAAAAAAAAGAATATAGAGGTAAATCTGTCAGATCATAAGACATTCACATGTTCACTTTTTTTTTTCTTTTGCAAAGGACTTATTAAATTTCGGGCATACCTAACAAAAAATACAAACAAGAAAACATGTACGGGAAGAAAACAAAAAAAAATGAAAATGGTTAAAATGAAATGTCACATCGTTATGGCAGATAAAAGGAATTTTTTGTAGGCTTTTCAAAAATTGGAACATTAAATTTTCTAGGATAAAAAGTTAAAATATATAAAAAAGGAGTAAGACCATATATGTACATATGTATACAGAAAATAAATCAAAGCGTATAGATGTAGATTAAGAAAATGAACAAAAACATAGTAAACCTGCAGTGGTTAGAATGTGGGGGGAAGAGTACGAAAAAAAAATTTTCTGCTTCAGTACGTTTGAGAATATTACAGGATTTAATATGATAAAAATATCTAAATGAAGAGGTTAAATTTAACGGTATAATTTATTACACAAAAAAAAAAACAAAATAGAATTGTAAAATAAAGTGCCTTTTTTTATGGTCGAAATGCGGTATTTTGAGTTAGGCAATTTTTTTTAAAAAAGTATGACTTTGTTCTTACTTATTTTATGTTAGTGTCCTGTATGAAATTTTAGTAGAGAAAATATTAAACATTATTTACAAATATTAACACATTCTCTCTGAACTGCATTGAATATCAATAAGTTGTATAGAATCAGAAAAAAATTTTTTATAGCACTGTAGACGAGTCAAAAGGCAATTTGTGAAATTAAATGTGTATAGGAATCGCACACCTTGTCTGTCCGCGGGTCAAAATTGATTGTAGTGTGAAGGTTAAAGAGACCTTGGATTTAGTCATTTAGTCATAGTTTATAGTTTAATTTTGCAATTTGCCTTTATGAAACGAATGAAAGCATTTGAATATGCTCAAAATTAGTATATGTACTTAATTATTTTCGCAATTAATGTTGAACTTCTACGAATATGTGATTATCGTTGTTTTTTTAGAAATCGGAAAGTGTTGATAATTAAAATCGTATTTTTAACATTTTAGATATGCACCTATGAGTTAAATAATTCATATACAGGGTGTTTCGCATAATGTTACAAATAATTTCAGGATTTATCTTTAATCAATTTCTAGCAAAAAAGTGTATATAACATCGAAAAAAACAAAAAAAAAATAACAAAAATTTTCGAGAAAAAAAATCCAAAAAAAAATTCTGACTTTGACTGCTGTTACTGTTAAACTATGTTTAATCAAAAAAAATGTAGGACCAAAAATAAAGAACCATCAATCAACTGTAAGAGAAGCTCCTACCACTCTCTCATGAAATTATTTGCAACCATATGCGAAACATCCTGAATAAAAGTGCTTTTTTTAAAAATATTATTAAAATAAAATTGTTTCGATAAGTAAAATTATTCGAAAATGCATAAATGCGCACATATAGGGTTTAAAGTTCTAGACATGCCATACCATTCCATACATACATATGTATATTATAACAGTTTTAAATTAAAAAGAATATTTCAAAAGAAATGTATAAATTATTTTTGATTTAAATAAAATGGAAATTTTATTGATTTTATTTCTTACAGTATTTTAAAATATATATACGAGTATATATACAAAGTTCACAAAAGAAAAAGTACCATATGTATTTAATACCATAATGTACTTGTATATATTCTTTTAAGTATATGGCATATTGCATTTGCGAACAGAAGCTTGTGTTTATGAAAAATAATAACAAAATTTTTTCATATTTTCAAAAGAACAAAAAAAAAGCTTTCATACTTTTGTTTTCAATTTAAAAAAAAAGAGAAATGTCTTTTTTTACAGTTTCCGACAGTTCAATGATTTCTAAATAGAGCGCCTTACTATATCTTCAAATTAAAGATGACTTGAAAGTTCATGGTATATAGAAGGATGTTGGTAATTTGCCTCAGGGTTTGCTCTAATCGTTAAAATCCATGTGGATTTCATTTGTGAAGCAGTATAGACCTCAAAAGAAATTATACTAATTGTTTATATGAAATTACTTCTTCTGATAACTTCTTATAATAACTTGTAAGAAATTTGCTGCATTTTATTTATTGAAATTTATTTCTTATTTTAACTAGAGAGTATTAATCTATAAAATTATTTCCTTAAATTTCATAAAAATTTACATTATCTACATCGATTCTTAATACATTTCTATTAGTAATTTAGAAATTCATGAATTAATACAGGTACAGCTTCTTGATTGGATAACGTTTGCAATAAGTATTAAATTATTTGAATGAATACCAATTTATCTATAAATAACATATTTATCTACAAAATTAGAGTAAATTCAAGAGAAAGCACACAATAAAATTTTTATGCAATTTCACGTCTAGGCGAATACAACTTAAATTCAAAACAAATTGTAAATAGTACCTACTATTATTAAGGTACTCAAGAAATCTAAAATACAAAGGCCATAATAAAATTTAAAATGCAATAATAAAATTTTTTCCATAAAATTTTCTAAGTATTTTTCTCTAACCGTCTATCGAATACAATTTTTTTCCACGATATTTTTAAGATTATTTAGGAACTCCCATTGCGCAATAAAATTTATGAAAAAATTGCATAACTGCTATCAAATATTTATCCACACACACATACAAAAATTTATACGTTGCTATAATACAATATTTTTTTTTATAAATAATAAATTAAGATAGAATGTAGCACGTGACTGAAAAAAGTATTACAAAAAAACAAAAACGGAATAGCAAAATAAAAAATAAAAAAAAAAAACATTCTGCAATAACAAACCCACCATACTAAATACAGTAATTACGTCATTAAATATACAGTGGTGTGCATGATTATAGATTTATGGTTCAAAAATGCAAATTTATACAGAATTGTAATTCGCATTTTAAAATTTTGAAATATCAATTTAATTTAAAATTATTCAAGATTAACAGATTAAATTGCTATTTTTGAATTATTATCGCATTTTCCACTAATAATAGAAGAGATTTTGTAATTTGAATGTTGATGAATATTTTATGGAATTATCATGTCATTTTTCCTCATTTACTTTAAAAGATTTGTTCTTTTATGAAAAATTGGGTTAGTTTTATTAAAAATATTTGAGATATATTATTATTCATAGAGTTGCTAAAAAAGAAATGGAATCCTAATATAATTTGCAGAGTATTGTTTATGTAAAACGAATATGAAATTTAAATTGCCGAAGTTAAAATAAGAATAGTTAAAATAAGTTAAACGAATCTAGTTAAAATAAGAATAACGAATTGAATACTTCTTCAAAGTTTTGGTATAAACAGAATGGAAGGAGACCCTTTTCTTAAGTCAACGTAATTTTTACAATATACAAGTTACCAAAATTATTAAAAATGAGATTTTCAAAAATTTCTTGGAGTTTATTTTTTGTTATTATCATGGTTTTTTTTGTAGTATCCTAATGCCAGTTCTTTTCATTTCTCTTCAGTATAAAAAATCATTATTAATTTTCACGATTTAAAGTTTTTTAACATTTTGCAAAAAAAAAAAATAAACGAAAAGATTAGGTATGTGTGTATGTACAACTGCGTGCAAAATAATAGCGGTGTGATGAATAATTCTGAGTTGAAAAATTTCAATTTAATTAAAAACACAAATGTTTAGTAGCATAAATTTCAATATAATAAAAGAAACTTAAAATATTTTAGTCTCACAACAGTAACTTCATGAAAACTGAAAAACTTAGCTTGAAAATATTTTGATATTGCTGCAATTTGATATTCTATTGTAGGTTCTCGATTTTTTTTATAGTGGTAGTACCTACATGTATGATACACAAAATATCGTTATGAAAATTTGAAAAACCCAATTAACATAAGTTTACATTCAAATGGACTAAAATCACAAAACTGAATGTGCTTGATTACAATTCTTGTAATGGAACCACATAGACAACGTATTTTGTATAATTAACACGTATATAGCAATTACATTATGTAAAAAAGAGATTTTTTAATAACAGTGATTGTACGAATTAAATTTTAAATTCAAAAAATCTGATAAAAAAATGTGCTAAAATAGCTTAAAAAAATTCTATTTTTTCTGTATTCTCCAGTTTTTTTTTTCGTTTTGTAACCTTGAAAGAAATTTCTGAAAATCAGAGTAAAGTTGAATAATAAAACAAGAAAAATAATAAATAAAAATAAAAAAAAAATTGAAAAAATAAGAAAATTTTATAGAAAGTTTTCTTTCTTTATTTAAATTTTATGGATATTTCGTGTTGAGGATTCATTCAAACTTTTCGTTTTATACGTCAATGCATAATATAGGAAAGAAAATGAAGCAAAAAATGGAGAAAATTAAAGAGTTTTCTTTATTTATTTTTTTTTGTTTTTTTTTTTTTTTGCAAATAAATATAGAAAAATTTTAATGTTCCTTTTTTCTTTTTTATTTGTTTTAAATTCATTTTGCTACTGGAGATGATTTTGCAGTTGGTTTTTGAAAAATAACTTTTTAATTCAATAAACTGAACTGAACTGAATGAGACAAACATTCGGAATAGGCGGAATTTTTATACTTTTGATAAAAGGAAAATAAAGACTACGAGTACAAAACTTAATTTTTTTTTTTTGAGTTTGAGATAAACTTTGTTAGATTATTTGTAAAAATACAAAAGAGAATAATTAAATAAAATTTAATTAAATTTTATATAAAATTATTAAAAAATAAGTATGAAAAATATGTGCAAGAATAACTTATGTTTACGCAAACTTATGCATTCCCATTCAAAAATTTAAAATAATCTCTAAATATGTATATATCTATGTATATGTGTCGAGATATTATAATCGAGATTTTAATAATTTGATATTAATTTTCTTAAAAAATATGTATTTTGTCTACTGGAATATAATTACTTCTCTCTTCACTTAGGTGTATGGACTGGTGAAAAGAACGCTGTACGCTGGGATTATTATGTGCTTTTTATGTCAATATCTAATTCCCAAAACGCTCACAGTTTAAATTCTAAATGCACAAATATCACACACAGATATATTATGCTTGTATAATTTTCATCCTTGTTAAATTCAACCAATTTTCCACATTGCGAAAATATTAAGAAGATTGTTCAGAATTTTCAAAATTTTTTGCATATATACATATGTATATGTATGTACATATGTATACATAAAACTATACATGTGTGTGCATGTTTTTCTAAATTGTATGATTATTAAATAGAATGATTTTTTTTTCTCAATATTATATTAAATACAATTTTATTACTTACCATTGTATCTGATGTCCTAATGCAATTTCGTACAGAAGAATGGACTCGTCAAATCTCTAAAAAAAAAAAAAATTTAAAATGAAAAAATTGTAAATTTCTTAATGAACTAATTTCTTATTTTTTCATATATTTAAAAATTAGAAATTTTAAAGCATGCCTACTAAATTTTAAATATTAAGCAATATTTGTAATAAATTATTTTTACCAAATTTTTGTTTAAAGAATATAATTATATAAGATCACTATACCGGTTTGGAAATAATAAGGATCTTCACGTAATTATGTATACATTAACACAGCACTGTGAATTTGAACGATCTATATGGAAAAATTAATTTTCAAAGCAAAAAATTACTCATGACTCAATACTCATGTTGATTGGTTTAAATAATAATGTTTAATGATTTCTTCCAGAAATGTAAAATAGAAGAAAAATACATACATACTTAAACTGGCATGAAATTGAAACACATTTTAGTCTAGTCTCGATGCGTATTTTTTATAAATGAAACAATAGAAATATCTCTCAAAAATTTATGTAAATGCTTTATATTACGTTGCACTGTTACGTGAAGATTCTTAATAATTTTCTGCATATTTCTAATCATATCTAATATACTCGTAAGTACCTAAAAAACATAGAATTTAAATTTGAATTTTGTTGTGATCTTTGACAGAGATTCAATTAAGCTTCAATTTAAGGCATAGAATTTTGAACAGCTTACTTTTCAGCATCTTTACCTAACCGTAAATTTTTTATTGAATTTTTACAGAATTTTTCACAGTAAGTCGATACTTTGTCCATTATACAGCCGGTATGCATAGGTATGTAAGTTTGACTACAAAACCATTACGTTTCTTTTAATAAAAGGATAAAAATTATAATCAGGAAATTTGTATGAAAAAAATGAAATAAAAAATAAAAACAGTTATTTTTTCATTAGGAAAAAACTTACAGTCTATTTTAACGCTTCAGATAGTTTAATTACGGTTATTTGAAATCAGAAATACTTTTTGAGTAAAAGTGCGTTATAATAATCAAGAAAAAAGAAAAACTACAGAAATATTAAAAAAATGGGAAAGTACGGAAAATGGCATTTTATAAAAAGCATTTTCATGTTTTTATACGTGGCGCTGATATAAAAAATCGATAACGTTATCTCGAAAATATAAACTTTAACTTAATGTCGTCCTTATTTTAATGTTATTTTAGAAAAGGAAAATTAAATCGTGCGTTAATAATGTTTTTCCATTTTGAATTTTCATGAGTAAATTTTTTGTATTTAGTTTTTCTTAATTTTTTTAGGTTTACTTTATCTCAGAAATGTGTCAACGTTTAATCTAAAGGGTATCGCGAATTAATTTAAGGCATTTTCAAATTAAGGAAAATTCAACTTCATAACTAAAAATGGTTTGTAAGTAAGATGGTCTAAATTCCAGATTACGATAAAGAGCGGTTCAAAATTGAAAATTTTTTGATAATGTGAATCGAACGGCTCTAAAGCCCCAAAAAGTTTCCTCTCTTTTGTTACGAATCAGCTTTTGAAATTAACAATTATTTTTTATAAATTTTTTGTTAATAAGTTTAGTATGTATGGAGACTGCTTTTATGCCGTGGACCATAGACTGCAATATCTTTTTTCTCCTAAAACACACAAGCTGGAAGTTATAAAATTTTTTTGTGTGCAATATTTTTCATTACTATAGAATAATTGTTTTTTTCTACCTCTCCTTTCTGTCGAACTATCTTTGTCCCTTACCAAAGTATACATATAACTTGGAAAACAAAGTTATACTTAAGTTTCATAAACCATTCGTACAGTCTAATTTAAATCAGAAATTAATAATAATCGTCTATTCAACAATTTACATATAATAAGCTGAATGGAATTGAAAAACCTTGATATTACTTGTATAATTTATTGTTAAAAAGCTAAAAACTAAAAAAAAATGTAATGAAATTGTTAATAAGAATCGCTTTTTAGAGGTCATATTAAAAATATAATAGAAAAAATATTTGTAAAAATTTTTAATTTAGACCCTTACTCAATACTGGCCCCTTTAGTTTATCAAAACAAATTTGCAATAAAACTATGAAAATTACGAAAATTTTCCATTACATACGAGTACACAGTAATAAGTTGTTCGCTTTTTTTTATTCTCATCAGCTTTAATTCGAATTGTTAAATTGTTCGAATTGTTAAAATAAAACCCTTGTTGCATCATGTTCAGAATATCTAACTAGAAAAAAATTAATTTTTAGTAAAATGTTCAATAAAAATTGTCCTTTTAGAATTTTTATTTCCGTTTTCAATCTACTACCCTACATAAATACATGAAAAGCAGGCTCATACATAATAAAACTTACATAGTGTACATACATATATTGGTCAATATAAGCATATATAAATTTTGTTAACCGCAATAAAAACGTAATTATCGGATTTTCATTTTAATTTTATTTTCTGTTTAACAGGGCAGCTATTCTTTTATTTTAATCTGGAGGATACCAAAGAATTATTTTGGGGTTTTGCCAAATTTAACTCTCTCTATATACCGTGTGTGTATATATATAGAGCACTTGACTATTTAATAAATTGGACACGAAACTAATTTCAATATCCCAAAGTACACTTTTTATTGTTGAAGAGAAAGAGTGTACATATACATTGTAATTGTTAATAATACACATTTCTGTATAACATATTATCTTACGTACATGATTTTGTATGTATTTTTTATGTATATACCAAGTAATTTTAGTTCTAAAATTACAATAATTGTACTTGTATATAAAAAATTTAGCAAAAAAAATAAATTCGATAGAAAATAATTTTTTATATGTTATTCTTTTTGAACAATTTTTACGCCTTTTTTTTCTTATTTTGTGAATAAACAATTTCTCGAAATGTGAAAATTCAATAGAATTTTTCATGAATTGCTACTTGAATTGATTTTCAATTTTTCTATTTTCTTGGCAAAAATATTGTACAAAACGTAATGTAAAACATCATATTATTGATTTTGCAAATGATAATAAAATTGTATCATATGTAATACATAAAGGTTTTCAAAGAAAAAAAAATATATTTTATTGGGTAACCGAAGACCACCACTTGTTATTACAACGACAATAATAATAATAATGATAACAATAAAAACTAAAACTGATAAAACAAATCCTGTCAATTATATGGTATCCTTAGGAATGTTATCACTATTTTTTGGATGTTTGTTTAAAATTTAAGCACTGCAAATTCAATTCTAAGATATATGTAACTGAATAATTGGTTAAGGAAGCTAGTACATGAAGGGTTCTGCATATTTGTCGAAATAATCATTATATTACTTATACAAAATTCACCTAATTTACAAGATGAGCATTTTAGAATTTTAAGCATCTACACTATAATAATGACTCATCGAAGATTACTTATCTTGCCTCATTTGTTATCTTTAGTTTCGCCTATGATCCTGAACATTGAATAACAAAAGCGTTTATTTTATTATTACCAAAAACGAGTAATTTGTAGTCAAACCGAAAGAATGTTGCTTTGGCTTATTTTAAGTCATGGTCCTCAACCTATTGTAGCTGCTCATACATCAATTGCTATTTCCTCGTTACAAACAGAGTGATAAATTTCTGATACCATATTTTAAACACATAGGTTATACAAGTGTGAAAAAAAATAATGCTGTATATTTTAATATTTTCCTTTAATGGCGGCATTTATATAATGTATAGTCATACTTAAATAACTCTAGGCATTCTGAAAAAAGGTATACAGGAGGATTGTTGCGGTTTTCCTTTTTTTTTCTAAATAATTTTGAACTTGAATAAATTGTATATATATTTGAAAATGTATGTAGGTAATACAATCTATGTACCTTTTATGCTTTATAAAACGAAAAATTAAATTGAAATTTCGATATTATACGAAGGAATAATTGAACATAAAAATTATTTTATAGAATTCTGTTATTCGCAAAATGCTCTTAAGAGGGCCATTATTATTTATGTATACATTATATATGTACAATATATGTACCTACATATGTACATGTTCACATAAATATTCTTCTATACCCTTTGTATAATAAAATGTGTGTGCAGTGCTTTATTTTAACTATTTGAATGGCTTCATTATAGAATCATTACAGTAAAATAAAAATATTTAAGGGATAGTATAAAATGTTATAAATACGAGAATGCATACACATGTTATAATATAATAATATATAGATAAAAAATAAATTGAAAGTAAATGGGTTCATAAGTGTTGAAAAGTTCAAAGAAAAAAGGAATTTAAACTCATTAAATGAAAATTATTTTATAATTTTAAGCTATTAACAGGATTTCAGTAATCTTTGATTTTATTTCAATCCGATGTCTCTATACTCTTAATGGTATAAAAATGTTATTTCTAAAGAGCTTTAATTAATATATTTTATTCTATATTTAAACTCTTCAACAGTAATTATTTTCATATAATGTTAAAGAAATAGGTTTGCAAAATATGTGATTAAAAATGGAAGAGAAGCTTCAGCAAAAGTTCACAATGCATGACAATTCCAATCCATATTCCAAGTCCTTAATTATTTTAATACCATAATTAAATTTTTGGAATAACTTTTTAGAGATAATTAAATGACGAATATAAAAAAATGTAGCCTGAAAAAGAGTAAAAATTGAAAACTTTCTTTTTTACAAATTTGATTTTAAGCTGCAACTTACGGTTTATAGGTGAACACAGCTATAAAATTTGATTATTCGGTTTTCATTATTTGAGGCACCTTTTTACATATTATTCAATTACAAATACTGTGTTTGTAACAAACAATATGTCACAAATACTGTGTATTCTAAAGCATTCACAGTTTCAAATTCAATTCCATAAAATTAAATTTAAATTTTGATTAATGTGCTACCAAAATAACCAAAATAATGTAGGGGTTACTTAAGATTATTAATCGTATGCGAACACAGAATTAATTTGCCCATAATCTCCAATTCACGTTGGGTGTACTTTTAAATTTTTTTATAATTCAACGCTATTA